GTGGCCCGTGCAGGTGAAGCTCCCCCCTGTGTGAGCGCCCACCTGGGGTCTGACTTGCTGTCTGATCCAACTGCCAGGCTGAGCACAGCAGACAGCCCTGAAGCTGTTCCAGGAAGGTCAGGATAGAGCATCGTGTGCATCCTCCATCCAAACACTTGTAGCTCGTGAATGAGCCCTTTCCCCAGTATGGCAGAAATCAAGTTTCATAGGATCATGGACTCAAAAAGTGGTTTGGGTTGGAAGGGACCTTAAAGCCCATCCAGTCCAATCCACCCTGCCATGGGCAGGGACACCTCCCACCAGACCAGGGTGCTCACAGCCCCATCCAACCTGGCCTTGAACACTCCCAGGGATGGGGCAGCCACAGCTTCTCTGGGCAACCTCTACCACTGCCTCACCACCCTCCCCACAAAACATTTCTTCCCTGTGCCCAACCCAACTCCACCCTGGTTCAGTTTAAAACCATTGTCTTGTGCTGGGGACCCCAGAGCTGGACGCAGTGCTGCAGGGGATCTGAGGAGAGCGGAGCAGAGGGGGAGCGTCCCCTCCCTCGACCTGCTGGCCACGCTGCTGGTGATGCAGCCCAGGAGACGCTTGGCTTTCTGGCCTGCAAGCGCACATTGTCAGCTCATTTCCCATCTGTCACCCACCAGTATCCCCTGGTCCTTCTCTGCAGGGCTGTAAGCCTTCCTTTCCAAAGAAGGCAAATCTGGTGCACAAGTCTCAAGCAAAGCCAAATCTGATACTATGTTAAGCAAGACACACTCATGCACTTCTTCAACCCTGCAGCGGAAGCAACAGCACGTGACTGACGGGCCACATCTGACACATCAGCATCACTCTTGCCAGCTGGGACCAGCCAACAGTACTGCTGCAGGAGGAAGAAGGTTTTGTTACCCCATGCCTCACCCCATGGACTGCTCATGCAGCCCAACTCGGGGAGCAGGGAGCAACAGGAGACATGGAGAAAGTGGAAGGCGAAAGAAGAGGAGGCGATGGAAAAGGGACAGGAAAAGAGGATACTCAGAAAGATTGGAAAGAAGATACAGAGAAACGGATACAATGAAGAAACTCCCAATGAGTGTTCCCTTTGGGACTTTCAGAGCTGAAGCGAAGGGCTGTACCCAACCCTGCAGAGCTGGAGCAGCTCTCAAAGCCTCTGCGCAGTGGGGGATGAGTGCAACACAGCATCTCTGCAGGGTCGGACGTGGCTGGTACACACTGGAGCTCAGATGCTCCTACCAGGTGTTGGTACACCCGGAGCAGCCCCAGCCAACGCCCCCCTACCTCTAGGACACAGCACTGCAGACATCTTGAAGATATATTTGCGTTTGCTTTGCAGCTATTCTAAGCAAGTCGCAGCTCGGTATTTATGGCAGAGCCTCAGACTCAGCTCATCTTATTCCTCCTCTGCTGGCAAACCTCACACGAAAGTCCCCCCGGCAGCTTCAGCTTCAGCAGGCAGCCTCTGCTCGAGAGGTGCCTGGCCCAAAGCAAGGTCAAAACAGCTCCTGAGCATCACGGCTTGAAATCCAGCAAAGACGTGATGTGTCATCCAAGCGACTCTTCTGCCTTTTCAATATTGTTTTCCTAAAAATCCACTTCATTGTCATTCAGCTGAAAAGTATCAACATAGGCTGATCTGCAGCCAAATATAGCCTGGGTGTTGAATGACACCCCTTTCTGCTAATCAATATACCACACCATACCTCTTTTACTTAAGAAGTTATTTAACTTAGTGGTTGGTTTGTCAGATTGTTATTTCATGTTCCCACGGGCATCCCACATGTCTACAAAATGCATTTGATTTTTTGAAGGAACACGGAGTTTCATGCAAAACGGGCTGGAAAAAGCATTTTAAATGCTTTTCAATCATTAAATAAAACTACCTGAATATTCCGAGTAAATAAAAAGCATATCAAAATGTACCTTGCATTTGAAAGAAACTCATTAAACAGAGAATATTAACTAAAGTTAGGAAATGGTGGTATTTCACCTGGGGCCAGCAGCTCTTTGCTCCCCCAACGTGGGGAAAGCAGCCCAATTTGCTGAAAAAAAAAATTTCCAAAGAGCTCAGACAGCTCTGGGTACCCACAGCAGGCTTTGAACCCCCCCCCCAAGCATACACGGAAACCTGGGACCTTGGCCTGCAACGTTTTTTAATTAAGATCAAGACATTTCTGAAGTGTTCATCCCATGGGGGGGCCCAGGGAAATGCCAGCCTTCCTCCTGAGCCCGGCCGCGTTACTGCGGGGAGCAGCGAGCCCACTCCTGAGTTTCCCACCGGCTGGGTTTGTTTCAGAGTCTGAACTGGTCCAAACGAGGTGAATATTTCCATCGCATCAGCTAGATAAACCAAGCCCGAAAGCAACTACAGCAAAAGCTCTTCTGAATAACAAGAACTGAAAGTACTGACATTTGGAAAAATGGAAATAGCAGTTTTTGCTCTGTTAGGAGCTCAAAATTCGATACTTAGAGAAACACTGAAAATACCGTTGAGAAGTCTGCGAACCTACATCACTGACAACGTCTCTGGGCTGGGGATGCCCTTGGGAGCTGCAGCCCCAAAGCCCCCCATATCTTTCTGCTGCTGGGGAGCTGGCCAAGGCAGGGTGCTTTATTCAAACTGCTGCTGTGAAATGGGGACAGAGTGGTTTTAATGTAATAAATTCAGAACATGAAAACAACTTTTCCTTGGTGCAGAAGCAGCCCAGGAGCGAGGCTGCCTCTGGGATCAGTTTGCTGGGGGCTTGGGGAGTTTGGGACAGCCACTGAGGAATGGACTGGTGCTCCCATGGAGGAGACCAGCACCATCAGCTGCCCCAGCACCGCGGCCGGAGGACCAGCTCTGCCCAGTGTGCTGGGACACGTGCTCACACAATCCTCCCTGCCTTGTTGGCTCCAACACAGCCTGGCCAGCTGGCCCAGGGTAAGGCAAAGCCATTCCTATGAAAGCTCCAGGTCTGATGAGGCTCTTCTGGCTGGAGACGACAACAGCAAAGGCAGAATAAAAGTCCGTAACCTTAATGCTCAGTTACTTCTAATTTACATGTTAACAAACGAGGAATCGGCTCCTCGTTCCCCCTTTTACTCAGTGATTTGCTCACAGCAAAGTCCATACAAACGAGTGCAGCCCTTGTTGCAGAAATACCTACACACGGACCACACTTAAAGTACCAGGCGTATCTAAATCAGCTCTCCAGTTCAACTCATCCCAAATGTAGGTGGGAGCAGGACGAGGCTCTGGGGGAGCACAGACATGGTGTCCAAGCACCCAGGGAGGAGCTGGGAGAGGCAGAGCTCAACTGGAGCCGTGTGAGGGGTGTGCAGGGCAGCAGGACGGGCTGCCCCGAGGACCACAGAGCCTACGGAAGGCTGAGGAAGCTGTGGTCTCACTGCTCAGTGGGGCAGGAGCTCTAGTGCCCAGGGACATGGCAAAGGCTAAGGTTTCCATTTCTTCTTTTGTCTTCGTGATCACCAGTAAGGGTCTGTCCTTGGCCTTCCAGTGCCCTCTGAGCAGAGGCCAGTGGCATGAAACACTACCCACGGAGAGGGATGTAGACTTTGGGCAAGGTTAAGTCAACTGGAAATACACAGGTCCATGGGACCAGGTGGGATGCATCCACGTGTGCTGCTGGAGCTGGCCAATGTCACTGCAAAGGGCCAAAGATGGCGGTGATCATGGGTGGTTCCAGAGGATTGGCAAAAAAAGGCAAACATCACACATCTTCTGGGAGGAGGATCTGGAGAACCCCATAGCCTTTCCTCAGACACTGAGAAGGTCATTGAGTAAATCCTCCCATAAGGACAAGGCGGCAATTGGAAACAGCCAGCATGGATTTACTGGGGGCAAAGGGCCCCATCCTGATGGTCTTCTCCAATGAGATGACTAGCTGTGCAGATAAGAGGAGACCATGGAACGGTGCATGCCCTGAGTTTAAGGCCTTTGACACAGACTCCCACAGTATCCTTATAGTCATTTTGACAGGACATAGGTTGGATAAGGTTGGTGGAAAATTGCCTGGACTGCCAAGTTGTGATCAGCGATACAAGCCCAACCGGTGACCAGTTCCTAATGGTAAGCGCTCAGTGAGCGATGCTGGGTC